TCATAATGATTATCTAATGAGTTATTGACTCATCCACTAAAATATTAATCTTGTGAGTGCAGGACATATCTTTTTCGTGTTGCTCACCATTTTATCTATTTATAAGGTAAATTTGTACTCATATTGTTGTTGTGTACTATTGAGTTGGAATCAACTCCTATCTGATACTCCAGCAGGATTTCTGAGGCTCTAACTCGCTTGAAAGACAATTGTCTTTCTTTTTCTGCGGGACAACTGATGGATTACAAACGTGTGCCTTTGGGTTTGGCAACACAACTCCTTAACATTAAACCACCAGAGCTTCCTGACACCAATCATAAGAAGTCACTAGACACTTGTGTAATGAATAAAATACTAACATTTACTTTCTGTACTTGCAATTATAGGAAGCCCTGGTGGCCCAGTGATGAGGAGTTGCATTGTCAACTCAAAGGCAAGTGGTTTGAATCACCAATTTCTCCACAGGAGGAAGATGGGCAGTATATCTTTCCATGTTACTTTCAGCCTCTAAAAGACCTGCTAGGGGTCAGCTATGAGACAGGTTTGACTCCACAGCACATTACATCCACCACAGCTTCTGTAATTAATCACAGGTAATCTTTCTATCTTTACTTTCTACTCTATTAAAGATAACTTAAAAATAAGAAAAAATGACAGATCAAAAGAAAACCTTATTTAACATGTAACACTAGAGATTTTTTTAAAATGTCTAGAGACTATGAATATTTTAAAATTTTTTTGTTAAGATTTTGAAATTGTTTTCAATTCAGATTTGGAACTCTTCAAAAATACCACTGTTTACAGCATAATTCTGGTGTTACTTCCTTGATCTCTTCTCATCTCAGTTGTTATTAACCAAATATACTCTCTTGTCAGCAATCTACCCATTACATCTTAGAATCAGTGAGAGTAAATCACATCTGTACATCACAGATGCTTTTCATATTTTGTCAGGGTTTTCTACTGTAGTTGCCTGAGGGCCCAATATCAATCCTTATATCAGGAAGTTGAAGGTGTACCTTAAATGCCTTTCAGAGAGGTCAGGTGCATCTAGATGTCCTCTTGGACCCCAAATCCAGTGTTTTCCCTTTGCCAAAGGAGGATCATACTGTCATACTCTGTGCCCAGCAAGCTGCTAGGGCATTCTTTCTGGCCTCTTTCTGTCCAGTCAGTATCTCAGGGATCATCCAACCTCTGGACCCACATGGTCTTTATCCTGAGGCCATGATGAAATGGACTGACTCAACCTATCAATCTGCTTTGTATTCCTTGGGCAGAGGAGCCCTGCTCACCTGTTTAAAATAAAATAGTTACTGTTATGTGTCCCTGAGTGGTCTGTGATTCATAGCAACTCAAGTGCAATCGCTCTGGACCCTGCCCTATCCTGAGCCAGTCTTATCTCCAACACACCTACTTACCTTACCCCAGATTCTAGTGGCAAGAAGCTGCACTGCAATCCCAAAGGTGCACAGTTTAAATCTGCAGAAGAAGAATGGACAATCTCCTCCCCAGCAATCACTGCCTCTGAAAACCTACTGAAGTTATGGGTTGGTCCCGATGTAATGGTACACAACAGAACACAAGCACTTGCTTAAAGATATTCTAAGTTGAAAGATACAGTGTGGAAAACAATGTATATGAACTTTTAAGGACACTAGTATAAAATAAAAAAAAACATTTTCAAAGATTTCAAATTAATGTTCCAATCATTGCTCATAACAAATGCTTTACAGTCGCAGACAAAATGAGTAATCAAAGACAGTGAGCTTTGACACCTCCTTTTCATAAGCAATGTCTACATGCAGATTAGGGATTATTTTGTTTTAAAATAAAATTGCAAGAGAGAAGAAGATAGCATTTTTTAGAAACAATATTATATGCTTTGTTGTTTTGTGCAATCGAGTGGCCTACAACTCATAGCAACCCTATATACAGTAATTCTGAAGCTTGCCCTATGCTGAGCCAGTCTCACTGACCCCAACACACTTACCCTCATTACCCCAGATGTTGTGTTAATCCATCTCATCTGGTCTTCCCCTCCTGGACTGTCCCACCACCCTTCTAAGCATAATGTCCTTTTCCAAGGATTGGTCCCTCCTGGCCACATGCCCAAAGTATGTGAGACAAAGCTTCAAAATCCTTGCCTCCAAGGAGAAACTTGGTTTCACCCTTACCTGGACAGACCTGTTTGTTCTTTTGGTGGTCCATGGTGTGTTTAAGATTCTTTCCCAGAACCATAACTCAAAGGCCTCAATTCTTCTTCTGTTAGCCAATGCCAAGCTCTCTGATGCATAGCAAGTAATTGCAAAGACCATGGCCTGGCGCAGGAGCACTTCCGTCTTTAGACTGACATCATAGTCCCTCAGTACTCTGGAGAGGTACTTGACAGTGTATTTTCCCAGTTCATTTAGTCTTTTTATTTCCTGACGGCTGCTGGTACCAAGAGTGTTGTTTGTGAAGCTGAGCAAGTTGAAATTATTAACAACCTCAATCTCATCTCCATCCTTCATGGTGCTGCCAATTGGCCCAAGGGAGAGACTCTTTGTCTCGATGTTGAGCTTCAATCCATATTGAAGACTACAGTCCTTGATCTGCATCAAATGCTTCAAGTTCTTCTCAGTTTTGGCAGAAAAGGTTGTGTCATCTGCATAATGTAGGTGGTTGATGAAATTTCCTCAAATCCTTATGTCACATTCCTCCTCATAAAGTCCTGTCTCCTGAATGATCTGCTCTGCATATTGACCGAAAAGGTGTGGAGACAAAATGTGACCCGGACACACTTCTTTCCTGATTTTGAACCATGCAGTGTTTCCTTGCTCTGTTCTGATGACTGCTTCCTGGTTCAAGTATAGGTTTTGCATGCGCACAACTGAGTGTTCTGAGATTCTCATTCTCCTCAAGGTTAGCCACAATTTGTTTTGATCCACACAGTCAAATGTCTTTTCATAGTCAATGAAACATAGGTAGACATTCCTCTGGTATTCTTTACTTTTGGTCAAGATCCTTCAGAAATTGGAATTTTATAAAAATAAAAATTAATTTTAAAAAAACAATACAAAATTAGTGGGGGGAAAGATGAAGGGGGAAATGAAGGACATAAGGTAAGAAAAGAAAGATGACTGAATCTAAAACACATGGCTTCAACCCTGTTTCAAAGCTGTGAAACATTGGAAAACATCCCCTCCCATTTCTGAGCTTCATAGAGTAAATGGAGAATATGCACATTAATTACCTTAGGAGTTGTGCTAAATTAGAAGATGCATACTTAGTGTTATGCATAGTTCCTTCTCATAATAAAATCCCCAAAGTAAGTGATGACAAATAGCATCATTAGAGTAGGAGTTAGCGTTGTTGTATATAGGGTCGCTATGAGTCACAGGCGACTCGATGGTACATAACAACAACAACAACAACAACAATATAAGGTGATCACTTAGATTTAAACATTGGAATTATGTCCATTTCATGCCAGTATGTATGCAAATTAAGTTCTATAACTTCTAGTAGCGAAAGTAAAGCAAAATGCATGAATTTATGAATATCAAAAGATGCATTTATTAAAGTATAAGAGAACTACACAATGCTTCCTAAGAATTCCAAACTTGCTAGGGATCTGTCTATGAGAAGAGCAAGTTCAACATTCTTTAGATTTCAAATGTTGTTTTGTACATTTGTGCTGTTGTGTTTTTTTTTAAAAAAAAACAAACCCGCAAAACGGGTAGGCAATGTTATAAAGATGCCAAGTCATGTCATTTAATTGTTAATTGAATAATATCTTTTAGCTCATTGACCCAAGGATGTAGAGAGAGTAAGATTTTTCTTAATCTGTGAATTCACTAAGGACATCATATGAATGGTGAAAAGCTTTATTATATAGTAATTTATTAAAATAATGGAGAAAATATTGCCCCTATTGAAGGAAAAAAACCCCTTTATTTATGCAAACATGTAATTTTTCTTTCTTTTATTAATAACATTAAGACTAACTTGGTTCCTAAAAGCAGTAACTCTTGTAGCTAGATTTACTATTGTAGAAGTGACATTTTTATTCCATTCCTAACATCACAAAAGACTCCTGTGAAAGATCTGGAGAGAATCTGTTCAGCTTTCTGAGAGCACTTTTTCATTGGAAATTTATTTGAATTTTGTAACTGTCATATTACCATATTTTGAATGACCTAATGGTAAATGATACTGGTTGCCAAAAATAGCCAGATAGATAGTAGTCTGTTCATTCATCTTGGGCTTCTTAACAAATCAAATAGTGCATTGTTGACTAACTCAGTTACCTTATTATCTCACCAACCTTACTCAGTTATACTCATGATACTTCCATCTTATCATTTGTTGTTGTTGTTGTTGTTAGATGCTATAGAGTCTAGAAAGACTCATAGCAACTCTGTCAACATCAGGTCTGAACCCTGTACAATCCTGTGTCATCCTCACATTTCCTGACACACTAGAGACCTTTGCAGCAGTCACTGTGTCAGCCTACCTGGTTAAGGGTCTTCTTCTAGCATCTATTGGGCAAAATATATTTTTAGAGGAATCTCATTTTAGAAGGAAAATTACAATGGACATTGTAAATTGGTGTTATTTTTTCAGTTTGAAAAACATCTCCTCTGAAGGGAAAATAGCTTGAAAGTTCTATAAGTTCAGACTCATTACTTGAATTAAGGAAGTAAGAGGCCATTGCACTGTCTTTGAACAACTCTCTGACTTCCTGCAAAGAGGACCTTATACAGTATTTTTGGAGAAGTTGGTAAAACTGAATCTGACATCATCACCTCATACATGTAGCTAGCAAGTGGTTTGCTCTTAGTCTACAGAGGAGGAAATTGCTCCCTGTCTGATAAGACAACAGTTAAGGGTACACATAGAGTACTTTTCTTTTTTATTCCGTTTTACAGGGAAAAGCTTGCACAGTGATAACCATTATTTTGCCTTCCAGAAGGACGCATGCTGTTTCTTCAGGACACGGCTGATTTCCAGATATAACCATGTATTTGTGGCTGAAACTTTTGGCATTTGGTTTCGCCTTTCTGGACGTAGAAGTGTTTGTAACAGGTAAGTGCAAGAATATTAAAAGCTCCTTAATGTGTATATATATATGTATGTATTTTTTTTCCTTTTAGAGGAACATTGATTGGAAATAGGAGGCAAAAAAGAGTGAGAAAAGTTTGATGTTAGAAACGAGGAAGACTGCTGTGAGATGGTCAAGGCTGCTGTTGTAGATCGCCAAGCCCTGCTCTGTTATGTGACCAAACACTTCGTTACTGTTTTTTGCAGGCACATTGGGGGAAAGAATTATAATTAAAACCAAAACATTATTTGATTATTCGTTCACAAGCGGTACCAGAGTATTACAAAAGCGATGTTGGTGACACCACCGCAAAGTTATGAAAATATGAGGAACATTTTAAATCACAAATTAGGTCTGTTTTATTGTTTTCAATCAAAAACTAAAAAATATATAAAAATATTAAAGTCACAAGAAGGCGTTGCTTGCATGTAAGCTACTCCGCCTCTTCAGACAAGAATTTTGTTTCCTCAAAATTTGGTCATGAGTGACATTATTTCATTGACTTCTTAGTTACATGATTGTTCAAAAAAAAATTCCATAGGTTTGTAATTAAAGAGTAACTCTCTGCAGTCTTTTCACAGAACGTTTTTAAGGTCAAGCTTTTGGTTGCTTGTTAATAGTTTTAATATCTTTTTGCTTTGGAAAGTCTGTATAGCCACCGCCCTTCCTGGGTGATGGTTAACTTATTAAAATCTTGAGGAAATAAAAGTATTTAAACTCAGAGAATCATGCAAATGTCTGTTCTACAGGAAGTTGTAGCCATTGGAGCTTGAGTACCTATTTATGTTTGAGATCTTTGCGCCTTTATGGTCTATTTGATGGACATTTCTAGAACCTTTTTTTTTAAAAAAAATTGGATTTTGTGTGCATTTAAATTCATTGCTTAGAGGACCTACTAAATCGATAATTAGTATTCCTCATGTTACAGGGTCATTGTGAGTCAGCAGTGACTCAAGGGCAGTGAATGTAATTCCTCTTTATGATGTGTCCAAAATCCTTATTTTCTAATTGAAAGGATGTAGAAAGGGTGTTCTTTTTTGGAAATTCCAAACAGGGTACCAAGGGGAATAAAGGAAAGAGAAAAGTATTCTTTTCAAAATTCTTGCTTGTGAGTATAAGCTCTGCTACAATTTTCTCTTCCCCTACCCAGTACTTTCTTTTTCTCTAAAACAGTACTAATCACCTCCTAAGCGTGTTACATTTGTGGTTTTATACATATACATATACATATATATATATATGTTAGGTAGTTAAGATGCATAGAAAAGATGGCTGAAAAAAGTCTATATAGATGTACAACCATTGCTTTAGTACAGAAAATGCTCAAAAATTTTTATCTTTATAAAACTGTTTATCTCAATATTTTAAAAGAAGAATAAAGTAAGATTGAATATGTGTTTTTTCATAAATCAGGTCATATCTCCATTACAAATTGGTGCTCAGCAACTACTGAAAATCATTTGTACATGACCATAAATAAATGTAAACTATATTGTAGGCCGTACCACAAGTTACCATGAAAAATGTCTACTCAGTATATTAAAAGTGTTGTTATCAGAAACGTCTTTTAATATACAATAAAATCAGAATTTGCTGGACTCTAAAGGGATTTAAGTCTACTTTTTTGAATAATTTCTATTAAAGAAGTGGATAGCATTCTGCAGATTTATTTTGAGAGACCAAATATATCCCTGATTACCTTGATAAGTATTGAGAGCAAATTTTCTAATAAGTATTGTTAAGCTTGAAGCAGATCTCTAGTTTTGGACTTCAGCCTACAACTATTATTCATCATACTTTCAAGTTCTGAAGGACATGCTGTGGTTCAAGGTCTAATTTAGAAAGTTGCTGGTGTTTACAAAGGCATCTTTTTCTTTGTTTACAACATACATGACTTAGATTGCGTGTTTTATTTTAATGTCTTAAAATTGGGTTCAGTGTCTACAGGATAGTTTAAACTTAGAAGGAAAACTTTTGTGGTATGTACTCTAAAGGCCAAAATTAATTGTGTTGAATGTAGTAAGGGATAAATGTGTGTACAATTCAGACATTTTATTTAATATCTACAAGCATGGATAAGGCCATGCTTTCCTAGAGCAGTGACAATGCCTGGCTCAACTTTATACAAAAGTTCCCACTCTCTTTTTACTCTTACTGTTTGCCACAACAACTAGAGACAAAACTTCATTACAAATTTCCAAGTAAGGCTGGAGGAAAATGATCATTTAAAAAAAATTGCTTATAAATGAGTGCTCTCTCTAACAAAGGTCTGGTCAACCTATCACTCCCTAGAACTACAACTTATTTCCAGGAAATAGGTATTCATTTTTTATGTCTATGTTTAAAAAGAACTATCTCCTGCTACATGTGTTCACTGTACTTGGTCTATCGCAAGTATTTAATGCAGATTTTAAATTTCATTTCTTAAGCAAATCTCTTTAGAAGTATTCTACAAATTGGAGAGTTTAGGGTACAAATTTTATTATTTATTGATTTTTTTTTTTTAAGAAAGAAAAAATCCTTTCCTAAGAGAGCTTTGGTGGCCTGGTAGCAAGGAACTTCTCTGCAATCCCGTAGACGTGTGGTATGAGGCCACCAGCTTCTCCACAGGAGGATGAGCAGTCTCCTCCTGTGTGATTAACTGCTTCTGAAAACCCTCCGGAGTGTCAGCGATGGCTTGGTTCCGACTCTACAGTCCACAACAACGACAGTGTACCCATGACTATTATCATTATTAGAATCTGAAATACATTTTGCTGTAGAAAAGGAAAGATGAGAAAATAGTAGATTTCAGTTGCCTTCATCTTTTGCTCTAAGCAATTTTGTGCAGAAGCAGAGTGGTCAGCTTAACTAGGTTCTATCTGTAAAGCTATTTGATTCCTTTAGCATTGACAACTAATACAGGAACCTAGCTATCTATCTATTAGCTATCTCTATCTATCTATCTATCTATCTATCTATCTATCTATCTATCTATCTATCATCATCTATCTATTCCTTCCCCATTTATGTGTATACTGGAGACCAACTCTATATTTATCTGTCTACCTACTTATCTATCTATTCTTCCATAAAAATTCTTGTTGTTCAAATGGGTAAGTGCTCAACTGCTAACCAAAAGATTGCAAGTTTCAAGCCACTTAGCAGCTCTATGGGGAATTCTGGTACCCGAGTTCAAAGAGAATTGTGCTGTTAACCCCAAAGCTCCACCTCTCTGGTGATTTGGATCCACTAGCTGCTGTGCAGGAAAAAACCAGGCAATTTCCTCTTGAGTGATTTACAGCCTCTGAAAGCCTACTGGATGACCAGCTATGAGTGAGTTCCAATTTGATGGCAATGAGTTGAATCGAGTGTTTCTAGAGGAGAAAGACTTGGTGCTCAGCTTTCAAGAAGTTATCATCTCTGTAGTCAATTTTGACCCACAGGGACCCTATATGAGATTTTTTTTTAGCTGTCCATCTTTAAAGGAGGATATTTTTCTCCCATGGAGCAGCAGGTGGATGTTCTAGGAGAGTTTTATTGTATCATATGGGGTCTCTATAATTCAATGGCATCCAACATCAATGACTAATAACTTACAGGTCCTCCAAATGTTCTTACTTTCTGAATGTTGGAGAACGCTCTGGTGGCATAGTCCATAGGTAGTTGTGTTCTAACCCAAAGAGAGTTCCTCTCTGAGCATTCAGATCCACCAACCACAGCAAGATAAAAGATGGACAGTTGCCTTCTGTGTTATTTACAGCCTCTGACAAACCTACTGTGGGGTCAATTATGAGTTGATTTCCATTCACTGATGAGTGAGTGAAAGAGTGGCAAGAAGCTGTGCTCCCAGCCCAATGGCATGCCGAGCTGTCACCATGAAGAAGGATGAAAAATCTCCTCCTGTGTGAATAACTTTCTCTGATAATCTGGCAGAGGGTCAGGTATGGGTCAATTCCAACTAGAGTGTACACAACAATATGACATGAGCTTTAGTCTTTGTTTGTAGGAGCCTTTGTGTTGTCTCCAACTCATGGTGACCCTATGTGCAAAAGAGAGAGCCATGTCTGATCCTGCACCAGTCAGTGCACCAATTCAGTTCACTGAGACTTTCTCTTTACTTGCTGTCCTTAAACATTTCTATTCTCTATATTCTGGGTTCTTTATCATAACCCGTTTACTACCTGTTGATGACCCTAATTCTTCATCTCTAGATTAATCTGTCAGAAATGTGGAACCCTTCTACTTTCCTAAATCTACACAATAAAATCCTCCCCATTCTCGGAAATGCATTTCTACTTCTTTGTTTCTGTTGTCATAACCTTAATCCTTGTATTTATGTTTAACTTGTATCACTCTAATAGTTTTCTAATCTGAGGTCTAATCTAATCTAAGGTCCAAATACTTTCTTTTTATGCTTTGTAATGAAGATAATTATAGAAAGGCTTCAGACCTTTTGTTCATAGGGTCACTATGAGTCATGCTCAACTCAGCAACAGTCAATAATAACAAATTTAAGTAAATAAAAACAAGAAAAGAAAACGAAAAAAAATTAGAAAATTAAATTTAAAAAGTTTTCAAATATCTTATTGTCTTTGGAATAATTCTACAGTTGTTACCAGATCACTAGCTTCTGGGACAAAGTTTTTTTGTCTGTCTGTGTGTGTGTCTCTCTCTCTTTCTCTCTTCTTTCATAATTAACTAAAATAACAAGCAGCATATAAGCTCGGCACTAGTTTCTCTATTCTCTCACCCCCCCCCCCCCCGCCAGTCCTTTAGGGTTCTGCACACATCCTGTCTTCTCTCTGAAGTCTCTCTTCTTCCACCATTCCACCCCCAAATTTCTCTACAAAATGGAACATTTATTGTCACCTTTTCCCCCCACATATTGTCTCCATTTACTATTCTTGTTAACACCATACTCATTATGAATCCATCAGAGCATTTTCTGTCAATCAAGCCTTTGTGAAAAAAGAAAGAACCTCATAGAGCTTTTTGCTTTGTATCTCTTTCAACTAATTTATGACTAGACTTAAAATAAATTAAAAAAAATAAGGTCAAAATGCTGCTCGTGGTGACAGGAGGGGGAAATGCAGGAAAAGAGGAGAGAAAGAGAAAGAAATATGAGATAAAAAATATAGCCAGAAGGAAAGTGGAAGGATGGAAGTAATGGATTAAATTTACC